TGAGCAAGTTTTCCAATTACCAATTTCTTTCTACACCTTCCAGATTTAAAACTGAATGCACAAATTTTGAACATACGCATTAGGTAACAGAATGCAATGGAATTAAGTGGCTACATATAATATGTAATCAAAAGAGAATCATCCCGAAAGTAAACCATACACATTAGATAACGCAAAATTGCAATATACTCCAGTAGAGAGGAATACATAAGCCACAAAAAATGATGATGACTTTCGGATAACATACCCTCACTAATATTTTCAAGTCATCTTAATAAGAAGTGAAGATGCAGTAAAGATCCATAGGATTGACAAGCAATACGAAACACTTCCCAAAGTTGGTTACACTCTATACTTCTATCTCCAAATTCTCCATATAGACTTATCTTTTTCCTACAAATCAAAAACACCAAGAATTTTATATGATTATAGATAAGCTCAATTTTTTGTTTCATTATCAGTACATCCATCTTAGGTAATCACACTTCTGCAATTGGCAATTGCAAATTATCATAATTACTATAAAAATCCAATTGATCACTGAAAAACAAAAACAAAAAACACTGAAAGTGAACTTATGTGCAAATACAAAAGGGGAGCTAAACGGCTGTAAAGATCTAGATTATCTAATCTTGAAGATTCTTTAACAGTCTCTCTGATAAAGAATTTATCTTATTTGGTGAGTATATCCAACACGAGGCATAGGAAAATTCCTTATATTTAGGACCTCACTAAACACTGTCAAAAACCAAATTACATCAAATCGACTACGCATCACCCGAAAAAACGTGCAGCAAGTGAAAAGAATTAAATGTAAATGCATGCATACTTGTGGCTTGAGAGAAAACGGCAAGGCGAAGAGCCCAAATGTCGAAGAATCCGAACCATACAGATGCTAAACGAAGTGAACCCACCAGCATCAACCACCATCCAAGTAGCTTCATCTTAGCGCACTCTCTCTATCAACTGTGAAATTTGAGTTTCAAATATAAATTTTGGTCAAAGATCCGATTCTTGTTACAGCTTTGGGGGAAAAACAAGTGAAGAGAACAAATCTGGCCCTCGGCCACTAGGTAGTTGGGCTTTAATAAAGGTGAATTTGGCCATTTGGCCTAAGTAACAATGTATTTGATGAAATGATATTTGATCGATAATAAAAACAAATATAAAATATTTTAGTTGACAAAATGATAAAATTTTCCTTTAGTTATTAATTTAATGTCTTCCAATTTTTCCCATTTCATTTTGTTATTTTTCTTTCAAATTCACCCTAAAACCCTAATTTCTTTTTTTTTTCTTTTGAAAATAGCATCTTCTTCCCCTGTTCATCTTCATCAATTTTAAGTTCTCAAAATTATATTTACCTATTTTGTTCTCTTCAATCACATTTGAACAAGGGTTTGGTTAGCATACATTTACATTGAAAGAAAGAGGAAATATCCATTTATGTTGTATTTTTATTATTAAATATAGTGTTAAATAATATTTAGTTGGTATTGTTTATGTATTTAGTGTGTTTTTTATATTATCTGCAACCATTGAATGTAATAACACTTCAATTGCTATCGAAAATGTGGAACATCACTGGAGCCATTATTTGTAAAGTAAAGCGACACTACAGTCGTTATATGTTATATTTTGATTTTTTTCAACGAAATGACTCTAATAATAGACTCACTAACGTATATAACACAAAATGATTGACTAGTCACAAAGAATGATTGAAATAACATAATTTTTATATTATTGAGATGGTGAAAATACAAATTATCACACTTATATGTGCCGATTAAGTTAGTATACATATTCATCAACTTTTGTACGTGTCGTGTACATATTACAATATAAATAAGCTTCACTTATTTTTCAGGAAAAGGATAGATCGTAACTACTTATACTCATATTTATATACGTAACAACACAAGTGTCTTTTTCATGTCCAGTAACAACACTTGTGTCGTTCCGAAATTTTTACCAATATTCGATTTTTTTAACAAAACAACATTTAATAATGGACTCCTAACATATGTAATATAGAAAGTTTAACAATGTCATAAATAACATAAATGAGTTACACTATTAGTTCTTAGGACATAGATAAGATGTAGTTGCTTTTACTCGTGTTAACACGTGTAACCTTTGTTTGATTCTCATTTTTTCATCAAAATGCATTTTTGAATAGTAATTTGATCCTATTTTAATCACACGTTCTTCAATAAAATAATATTACACACAAACTCAAAACTTTTTTCTTATTTTTTAACAACACATTCTCCATTATAACACTATTACAAAATTCATTTTTTTTGAAAAAAAAAAAGGACTCAAAAAACCCCATAATAGCACAATGGTCGTTTTCATATAAATAACGGCACTTGTGCTGTTCTGTTGATTTTTTCTACACTTTTGTTAATGTTTTTTAAGTTAAATATTTGCGTTTCAATTATACATTTATCTCTAGTTTGTTGTTATTTGATGATAATGGCACATGTTACGTTATCAAAAATATAAGCATCCATGAAAATGATACAAGTGTCGTTATTGAACTTATAAGAGAAAGCTGAGAACGATATAAGTGTTTTCATGTTTGTTACAAAAATTTCATGAGAACAGAGCAAAAATCATTACTCAGATGAAAATATTTATGATTCATTAGGGGGTCCAATATATAAAATCGTTGTACTAAAATAAAATCAAAATATACGAAAAATCAATAGAACGGCACAAGAGCCGTCACTGAAATGAAAATGACCCTTCTGTCGTTCTATCTATAAATATGAGTTGAGAAATATATTCATTAATTGTCAATCTAGCATCCCAATGATGGTATAACTGACTTTATGATTATAAATTTACTTGTCCATAAGAACAACACTTGTGCCGTTACTAAGACGAAAATATCACTTGTCTATGAGAATGACAATTATATCGTTACTGAGATGAAAACGTTTATAAAAATGGCACAATTGTCACTATATTTGATTTATTAGTGTCCATGAGAATGGCACAAGTGTCGTTATAGTATTTAAAAAGTCCCTAAAAACAATATCAGTGCCGTTATTGAGATGAAAAATTCTTAGAGAACAGTACAAGTGACAAACATAAATATAAACTTCTATTATTACTATAAGAACTGCACAACTTATGGTGTCCAATTCTAAAGGTCGTTGAGTTGAAATCAAACGAAAATAAAGAAGAAATCAACAGAATAGCTCATACGTCGTTACTAATAATAAAACGGTACTTGCGTCATTTTGTTTATCATTACGAGTTTAAGCAACCACGACTCGTCCTCGCCTCGTGAAGTAATAAGTTGAACCCATTTAACTTGTAAGGTGGATATGATATTTAAAAAAATTAAGAGATATACTCATTACTTATTTCGTTGAAAATAATAGAATCACTTGTGCTGATACTGAGATGAGAAATTCTAAGAGAATGGCACAAGTGCTGTTTAGAGGACGAAAAGGTGAATGTCACTTGTGCCATTACTAATATGAAAAGTTCTAAAAGAACGATACAAGTGTAATTATCTAACCATAATTTTTCCATGAGAACAGGACTTGCTGTTAATGTAAGGAAACGACATTATTATTGTTCTATCTATAAATTCGAGTATAGGTAGCCACGATCCATCAATGTCCCAAAACTCATTTTAGCTGCAAGATGGATATGCTGTTTACAAAAAGTAAGAGATGTGCTCATTAATTATATTTTCTAACAAATCAATACAACGACTTATGATTTTACCAACTTGATATTGTATAAGTTATATCAATTCAATTGTTCTTTGTCATTTGATCAACCTTTCTAACTTTCTTAAGTTAGGGGATCCATGTTTGAGGTCACTATATTGGAAAAGAAACAAAATCTTTGAGAAATCAACAGAACGACACAAGAGCTGTTAAACGATACTTGTATCATTCTGTCTATAAACACGAGTATAAGTAGCTATGACTCATCCATGCCCCAAGATTCAATAAGTTGAACTCATTTCAATTACAATATGAACATTTCGTTTACAAAAGTTGAGAGCTGTGCTCATTGATTATATTTTCTTATGAATCAATACAAGACTTGTGATTTCACTAACTCAATATCGTATAATCTATGTCAATTCAATCATTCTTTGTCTCATGATCAACATTTCTAACTTTCTTAAGTTAGGAGATCTAATGTTTGAGATTATTACATTCGAAAAGAAGCAAAATATTTGAGAAATCAACAGAACTACACAATAGCTCTTAAACGACACTTTTGTCGTTCTGTCTATGAAGACGAGTATACATAGCCACGACCCTTCCATGCATCGAGAACCAATAAGTTAAACTTATTTAGTTTGTAATATGGACATGATATTTACAAAAGTTGTGAGATATGCTCATTTATTATATTCTAATGAACTAGTAGAATAACTTATATTTTCATCAACTCGATATCATATGATCCATGTCATTTAAATCGTTCTTTGTTACGTGATTAATCTTTCTATTTTAAGCACATTAGTGGGTCAAATGCTTGAGGTCGTTGAGTTAAAAATAAATCAAAATATAGAAGAAATCAACAGAATGGTACAAGTGTCATTACTGAGAAGAAAACGACCCATGGGTCGTTCTGTTTGCAAACAGGATTATAAAATGGCCATGTCCTGTTCATGCCTCCGAGAGCCAATAAGTTGAACTCATTTAGGTTGTAAGATAAACATGATATGTACAAAAATCAAGAGATATGCTTATTATTTATATTTTAATTAACTAGTAGAATAACTTATACTTTCACCAACTCGATATCACATGATCTATGTCATTTCAATCGTTCTTTATCATGTGAACAACCTTTTCATTTTACTTGCATTAGAGTGTCCAATACTTGATGTCTTTGCCTTGAAAATAAATCAAAATATTGGAGAATGCAACAGAATGACATAAGTGCCTTTATGGAGAAGAAAACGACCATTATATCATTCTCTGTGTAAACACGAATACAAGCAGTTACGCTCCATTCATGTCTCAAGAAATAATAAGTGAAACTTGTTTACGTTGTAATATGCAAATGAAATGTACGAAGGTTAAGAGATATGCTCATTAACTTAATTGACCCATATGAGTAGGATGAGTTGTGCTTTCACCATTTTGATAATATAAAAGTTATGTCATTTCAATCGTTTTTTATGATATGGTCAACCTTTCTATGTTACTTACATTATGGAGTCCGTTATTAGAGGTTTTTTCTTGAAAAAGATTAAAAATAGGTAAAAACTTCTGAACGGTACAAGTGTCGTTACTGGACATGAAAACGGCACATGTACTATTATATGTGTAAACACGACTATAAACAATCATGATCCATTCATGTCCCTAAAAAATAATAAGTTGAACTTATTTACATTGTAATATGCACATGACATGTACAAAAATTGAGAGATACATTTATTAACATAGGAATCGGACAATTTGTGATTTCACCATTTTGATAATATAAAAATTATGTCATTTCTACATTTCTTTGTGTCATTGTTAATTTTTCCGTGTTATTTACTTCAGGAGTCCATTATTAGATGTCGTTTCATTGAAAAAAAAAATCACAGTAGATAACAACTGTGGAGACGTTTTACGTAATGGATAACAATTGGAGTGACAATCTACATTTGGATAATAGTTAGAGTGCCATTACCATCCAATAGTTGTAGGCAACACAAAAAACACACTTAAGTACAAAAAACAACACCCACTTAAATATTATTCAATAATATATTCAATAATAAATGTACAATTTACATAATATTTCTAAAATTATCTTCTTTTTTTTCCTTCAAATATAAATAAGATATTTCAATGTAGATGATAAATGTTAAAAAGATACCAAAATAGGTGAAAATACAACGAAGAATATGATTTTAGAGTAGCAAAAATAGTTAAAGAGAAGAAAACAGGGTTTTTGTGATTTTGGGGGGGGGGCAAAAATTGAATTGAAAAATTTAATTGGATTGATAAGGGTGTTTAGGTCTTTTTCAATAGTGAGGGTGTTTACAACATTTGACATTATTTGTTTATTGTATTTTGTAAATGAAGGCTATTTGACCCAAAAAACAT